TGACCGTAAACACATCTCTGCGCATTCAAGAATAAAACACAATAAATAAGTGATTTCACATACTCTAATATGCTTTTTCATCATGCCACCATCATCCACCTTGCTCACCGAAGCTTCCCCCAAACACAGTTTTGCGTCGCCACCATTAGCCGGCATTTTCCAGAGTCACCACTACTCGCTCGCCACCAGCACCACCATTTTTCACCATGCTAGGGGCGAAGCTCCTTAAAGCGGCACCCGTTTATCTCTCGTAGTAGTGCGTAACCTGCCTTACGCTTTGACCTCCAAGGTGGTGCCAGTGGGCGATTTCTCGTGTGCGTTGTTGAACCATAAAAAATTCGCAGCTTGCGCGTTAACTAAAAGCCGAATTCTCCTTTCACTTATTCTCCATGAACAACTATTGGCATGTACATTGAGCACTTTATGAGAAGAAAGGGTTGCTATGTTATACCCGCTGGGCGTAACCTTCTCAGTTTTAGAAAGGTTTAGCGAGCGTTGGGCCAAAGGGCCATGAATACAGTGAACTAATATATACCAAGAACTCGATGTGGTTAAAGGTGGGAAGCAGACACGAAGCGCAAGCCTTAAGAAAGTGTGCGTGTGCCACTTCTCGTTTAGTCCTTGGAATGTCCGCTGGATGGCGGTGCTTCCATATGGGGATATATGATCAAAATATGCGAGATGGTGATACTCGGAGTGTTGACTAGACGAACGAACGAACACACAGACAGATGCATGGACGGACACGTGGATGGCTGCACGGACGAATGAAAGCATAGACAGACGCAGGGGCGGATGCATAGACCAACGCATAAATGGATGCACGGATGAACGCACGGACGCACGAAAAGACGCACGCACGGACGGGCGGATGAATGCACGAACGGTCACACAGACAGACGCATGAATGGACGGAAGCAAGAACGAATGTACAGACGGATGCTTCACCTCACTCTCCATCATTCACCCCGTGAATATGCTGCCATTTTTTTCACTCTAGCCCTCATCAGCCGACATTCTTCACCGATACCACCATTGGCTTGCTACCACCACCACCACCATCTGCCATCTTTTTTTTCTACTTTCGGCGTCATCACCTGTTATTTTCACTACAGTTCTCCCCATATCCACTAATCTTTCCACCATATCCACCATTCCTTCCACCATATCCACCAACAAGTCCGGCATACACCAACCCATGTTCAATAGGGCAACCCGCACGTGGACGTCGCGAAAAACGCCAGATGCCTGACATGACCCGACTAAGAAATGCCCTCGCATTTAAAAGATGCGTCTTTGTCCGAAGACAAAGCCTAGTTCGAATGAACGCATTCCGATGTCAGTTGCCCATTCAAGCCAGCACTTGCCCGTTTAAGGAGCCGAAAAACACTGTCGCGACGGGAAATTGAACGCACGTTTGGGAGCTTAGCAGTACGACGTCTTACCCCACATAAGGATCACAATGCAGGGTATAGTGTAGTTTAATGGCGGTCCAACGTTTTACTTATATAGTTATTATTTTCTTACATATGAAGTTAACGTGTAGTCAAACCACTCGTTGTCAACCTTCATAGACCTAACTAACAACCACCATACGAGAATCACGTGTCAGAGACAAATCATATTTACTTCTCTGACAATTCTTGACCAGTCATAGCACGTGAACATTTCTTCACCCTATATCCGCTTCTTTATGGAGGAGCTAGTCCATGAAACACTTATTTGTTTGCATTTGGATTCATATATTTGTTTCTAAAAACGGCGCAACGCTTTATCGGTAGCATCGTAGACGCTTTCGATAGTTACAGCTATTTTCGTTGTGGGAAGTTATCACAGTGTGGTGTTTCCCTTTACTTTGTGTTTGAATATATGGAGTTAATGCGTTATTGGAAACACATGCACAACGATGACTGCTTTCTTCGTGCACGGAAAGAACTTATTTGCAGGTAAAGAAATATTTTGTTGTAAGTGGGTGAATAAACTTTTACACTGTAAATCAGTTTGCACCCTTCAGGGTGTTTAAGTTGTCTATAACTGGCACGCTATTAAAATGGTGTTTTATGAAACCCAAACACCGTTTTCCAGTGTGTCATAGACATGCAAAGCACCCTTAAAGGAACAAACAGGTTAGAGTGATAGCCGTGAACTCATGCGCAGTGAATATTTGCAAAAAATGAGCGATTGGGTGACATACAATCTTAATGTATTTCACAGAAAACAGAAAGATTAAGATACGGGGGCTTATATATATGCTTATGCTTCCTAATCTCTGTGTAGAACATGATCATTGTCTACTTATGTTAGTTCAGTTGGCCATGTCTAAAAACCTGTAAATTTTTGCTCTTATTTTAGAAATTGTTTTAGACCTTCACTTTCACAAATCATCAGCTCAAGCAGAAGGTCACCAGCTAACTGAAAAATTCTAACAAATAGAGCGGATAGGTTTCATAATAAACAAAGCAAAATTTGGGGCGTACTTTTCTTCGAAGTGAAGAAAACAATAACAATACTGTACTTTAAATAGAGCAATGATTGCCAACCCTAAGCTCTACACGTTCTGCGTACTGAAGTAAGCTGCTTAAAGTAGTTGAAAGCGTTTCGTACCAATAAAAATGGCGTTGCCATGGGCCATAGTAGGAATTCGTCGTAATACTTCTCTTGCCACACTGCTAGATTACGACGCGAAATTTTATGATTCGTTATTTGGCAGCGAACGCTGCTGACTAGTTGATGAGCAGTTAACATGTAAAACAGTTGTTCTCTTACACCTGTACTTCAAAAGAGAATATGCTTAATTTTATCTGCATTCACCTGTGAGGCCACCTCTTTTCTTCACACCCTTCCACCACCACAGTGGGAAGGGTGTGCGCCCTTCTTGAGACTCAGAGAATCATCACTCATGCTTTCTCTCGCTATAATAAGACATTTGATGCTGCCGTACAATGTGAGAAATTTCCAGCTGCTCAGAAATACTGTGCACTTTTCAATAAAGCTACCGTTACTGTAAAATTTGTCTTTTCATGAAACAACGCGTTTTTGTCAGCAGCTCGTCCTAAAATGTAGGTTGCTTTAACACTTTATCTTAACATCAGCTTTCCCCACAAAGCGTTTCGTATGGCTCTATATGCTCGCTAAAGGCCAAATGTTAGTGTCCGCGTCTTTAGAGGTTGGTTAGGTATTTGGGTGGGGCAACGTTTTTTACATTCATTAAAAAAAATGTGCGAAATCAAGATTAAAGTCTTCGTGTACAGGTACAAATCTGCCAACGCGTGTGACCAAAGATATCTGCCTCCAGTAGTTTCAGGGAAACATTTAGTTAACTATAGGAAAACGTAGCGCTTTCGCCACCTTTTTTTTTACATGAAGATACAAAGTCGTAGCCGGTGGCATCCATGAAGTACTATTCGCTTGAACTACTTGTTATTTTCATTTTAGTGGTAAATTTTGAGCTATTTTCTAAGAGAAACTATACTAAAAAACTTGGGCTAGTTGGTGATCATTCATTATGCAGGGAAAGGGGAGTTAAAAAAAAAGACATGGATATAGCATCGAGCTTTTTTAGTCCTTGTTACTTTTCAGTGCAGTTGTTCCAGCACAGCTAAGCTGTATTGCAATTTTTACTCGTCGAAATTGTGTATTCTGAAGCACAGAAGCGCTGATAACACTTGTTCGTAAGACTAACATTTGGTGGTCATCATGGTGGTAGAACAGAAGGTTGAAAGTCAAATTCGCTGGTGCTTGTCTCGACAGATGCCGAAAATTAAAGTTTATGAGTATTGTCACACACTTGGTTAACTTAAAGGTACGGCTCAAGCAATAGAGTGTGCAAGAATTGTCAGAGTTGCGTTTCTAGCGTGGCGACATCAAGTGACCGCTGTGTTCTGATCTAGCATAGAAAGGGGCTATTGTGAACTAGAGCTCACTCATTTATCGACCACGGGGTGCCGATGTAAAACATTTATTCTCACTGTTCAAAGTGACACCTCTAGTCTTCTAAACATCACAACAAAGAAACATATGGCGGATATCAAACTGATGTAAGTACGTGCGCAAAATGTGAACATATTCACAGGCGCATATTCCACGCTCCACAAAATTTGAAGCGTCGTTGACAACACAGGAATAAAAAAAATAAACGTGCTAGATATCGTAATGAGAAGCGTTGGTTTCTTTTGACCGTAAACACATCTCTGCGCATTCAAGAATAAAACACAATAAATAAGTGATTTCACATACTCTAATATGCTTTTTCATCATGCCACCATCATCCACCTTGCTCACCGAAGCTTCCCCCAAACACAGTTTTGCGTCGCCACCATTAGCCGACATTTTCCAGAGTCACCACGACTCGCTCGCCACCAGCACCACCATTTTTCACCATGCTAGGGGCGAAGCTCCTTAAAGCGGCACCCGTTTATCTCTCGTAGTAGTGCGTAACCTGCCTTACGCTTTGACCTCCAAGGTGGTGTCAGTGGGCGATTTCTCGTGTGCGTTGTTGAACCATAAAAAATTCGCAGCTTGCGCGTTAACTAAAAGCCGAATTCTCCTTTCACTTATTCTCCATGAACAACTATTGGCATGTACATTGAGCACTTTATGAGAAGAAAGGGTTGCTATGTTATACCCGCTGGGCGTAACCTTCTCGGTTTTAGAAAGGTTTAGCGAGCGTTGGGCCAAAGGGCCATGAATACAGTGAACTAATATATACCAAGAACTCGATGTGGTTAAAGGTGGGAAGCAGACACGAAGCGCAAGCCTTAAGAAAGTGCAAAAAACTCCACATGACATGAATTGTTGAAGGATGTGTTTATCCCTTCGTCTTTGCAGGCAGTTTCACGGTTGTAATACTTGTAATAATTTCAGTCATGTTTCCTTTGTAATATTAGGCAACTTCAATATATTGGAATGATGAGCGCACAACCTTATTTCTGGGTGTTCGAGCTCAGAGCTATTTGGAACGTTTTCATCGCCATATATCGTTTTCTTTGTTCTGCTTACAGAATGCCTCCTTTGGGTTCGAAACACCACGAAGAACACTGTGTCGGAGAGATGTTTAAAGAAGCACGCCACTCTGTGTGGAGATGGTGTTCCCTTGTATGACAAAGATACCTGCAGGGATTAGTAAACATCAGCGCAAAACGTAAAAAAAAACTTGTAGTGCGAATAAAACAAAGAAACTAAGAGTTTATGTCAGAAAGGACTTGTTCACAAGTGATCGTCGCAAATGACGGGTCGGCTAACAACAGTTTCATCAGACAACAAGCGCACCATAATTCTAAGTACATCGATGAAATTCTCGTTCTTGCTATTGTCTGTTCTTTTTTTTAGATCAGCCGCTTGTCGACGCCTTCTCGATTCTTTCGCCTCTAAGAACGTGGCTCTCCATAAGGATTTAACAGATTCACTATATATAAAATTGTTGTGGAGTAATAGCGGAAAATCCACAAGTTCACAGGCGTGATAAATATGTGATCATAGAAGTGCTCCGGGGTGGTCATACTACTTAATAATACCACCAAAATGTTACAGGGTGGGAAAGTGTATTTTTTAGCCCCATAGCGAAAAACAACACGTGATGAGGCTACGCAAAATACCTGTCCAAATGCTTGTCCTGTCACTCTACGCAACAGTTTTCCTCGCGAGATTCCGTTGCAGTAATTCTGCTATCACACTTGGCAAATTTTTTAGCATAATACATAAAAGCTAATTGACTCAATTTAGTTTAGGCGCATGTCGTGTATTCTCAGACTGTCGTGTTTTATTTATAGCTGCTAGAGGTAATACAGAAAGTATAGGAGAGGCATTACCGGGTGAATCAATTCATAAAGAGACCCTCTTTTCATAATAATTAGCTCCCATGTCTCCAGCACTGCGCTTGTAGTCTTGCGAAATGTGGCAAGACAGGGCGATTCCGAAATTGTAAACGTGTTTTGAAGGAAGTGCAATTGTAATATTTTCAAAAGCTAACCATAATTGGTTCCTTCCAGTACACTATTTGATGCACTGCCTGCAAACGCATCAATTTCGCATTTCATTATTCCAATGCACTCAGTATTACCATCCGAGAGAGAAATTCAAGTAACGTATGGTTTTCTCTGTTACAATCATCATCATCGTCATCATAATCATCAGTCAGCCTAGGCCCACAGCAGGGAAACAGCCTGATTCATATGGGGGGTTTAACGTCCCAAAACCACCATATGATTATGAGAGACGCCGTAGCGGAGGGCCCTGAAAATTTTGACCACCTGGGGTTTTTTAACGTGCACCAAAATCTGAGCACATGAGCCTACAACTTTTCCGCCTCCATCAGAAATGCAGCCGCCACAGCCGGGGTGCGAACCCGCGACCTGCGGGTACGCAGCCGAATACTTTAGCCACTAAACCACCGCGGCGGGGCAGCAGAGAAACGGCCTCTCCCGTGTTCCGCCAATCAATTATGCCCTGTACTTTCTGCTGCCGCTTTATAACTGAAAGGAAAGAGATAGGAAGGAAGCGAAAAAAAAAAACAGGGAGCTCTACCAGAGAAAGACTCCGGTTTGCCACTCTGCGCACGCAAAGGGCAAAGTCTGTTACTAATAATCGCAAGCTACTATCCTGCCTACGCGCGAAGTGTCCGGCCTATGTTCGTTTCTTTCTCTTGATTTCTACTACAATATTCTTATGTCCCACTTGTTCACAAAGTGTTCTATTTAGGCGTGTTAGTTTGTCATTAGTGGGTAAAACGTTGCGCATAAAAACCGGGCACAATAAGAGACTATATAACATACAGGGCGCCACTATCAGAATACGCCTGTCATTTTTTTCTCTTCATTACTCGCTGTGTTGTCCTGAGTACAAATTGCACCCCCTGTGAAAGCCTGCATATTTCTGCTCTATTGGTAAGTACCGGTAAGATACAGCTTTTAGGCTGAAATATTATGCTCCTCCACTTGTTTATTGTTCTAGTTATTTTATTCACGTGGTCGGGCTCCACTGTTACTATGTGTCATTAAAAGACACATTCTTTTAAACCTCGGTGCCTCGCATTCTGTCACAAAGTGCTGTTCTCTGATGAAATTGTCGCACATTATTTTACACTTATGCATAATACTTCTTTCAGTTCTGCTCTGCTTTGTGAGTCGAGCAAAGTAATCATAAGCTGTCATTCGTATTTCAAGAGAAAACGGTAATTGGCGTTAACAAATTATCTAATTATTCCGCGACCGGTCAGCTTGAGAGCTTGCAAAAAAAGGATCATCTATTAGACCTGAAATGCATGTGCCGTTAGCTTTTTGGTAGTATATATTTCAACTTAATAAAAAGAAAGAATGCTCTAGATGATGGTCCTAAAACGCGGCACGTCGAACAACCACCGAACATGGTCGTGTTTAGAGGAAAGGTATACGTGGTAGTAGCTCGCTGCACAAAAGTTGCAGTCACAATACCATAGTTTTTCACTCGGGAAGCCTTCACGAATGTCATCAAGTTTCAAGCGATTCGAAGAAGCATGGCGTGCATGGCGCGCCTTCGAAGTTGTTGTGCACGATTGTGCAGAATGTAATAGATTGATGTGTTGAGTTTACTGTCACAAAACCGTCATATGATAATGAGAGATGTCGTAGTGGAGGGCTCCCGAAATTGTTACCACCCGGGGCTCTTTAAGGTGCGCCCAAATCTTTGCACATGGACCCACAGCATTTTCGCGTCCACTATAAAATTCAGCCGCCACAGCCGGGATTTGGTCCTGCGACCTGCGGGTCAGCATTGGAGTACCTTAGCCACTAAACCAGCACAGCGGGGCAATTGTGCAGAACGTGACAGAAGTGGTTATACACGGACAAATGAATAACGTAGGAAGCATGATGTAGTGCCCATTTACATGTATTTCCCTGTGTTCTGTATGTAAAATAGCATTGTTTTTTTTTTTCAACGAACAACTTACGACTTGGGTACGCCCTGCAAGTGAGCTGGGAGCAGTGTTGAAGACACCAATACAAATTGTTTAGTATTATTCACTTCAAGAAGACTAAGTCTAAGATGGTAACTAAGATTTCAATTGCAACATGACCATGCGTCGTGGAAGGGTGCAGGATAATTATGCAGTGTCTGCGGCTTGTGTTTAAGTATATTTGCCGTGAGATCCAACAGAGCCGGCACCTTGTGGCTAGGGTAAGAATCTCGCTGTGTGGATTGCTCTTGCGTCGCTTACCAGTCACGGCGTCTTCGCATGTGAGCGTACGTCAGAGGCGTTCTGAAAAGGCAACTTATTTTGTTGTGCTACCAATGTATGTAATATTTGTACGTGGGAAGGACGAAGTGCCTGCTTGGCTGAACGCTTGTGACTACGAATCCGCTAGTTTTTTTTACTATTTCTGCGTGCACCGCTGGATATATGCCTCATTCTGGAACCGATGCAAATATGAACATTCCCGCGCCCTCTCCTGGAATGTTTGAGGCCGCTGCAGCACTCTGCAGAGAGTGCTGTAAACTTCGTAGTGCCACGGAAAGCGAAGACAACAGTGTCTACTTTCTCAGCTATGAGGAATGGTCTGACGTCGACTTTCAACTTGTACAAAGACGTAAAGCGAAGCGCAGAAACACCGGGCCCTCCCTAACTTCGGCAGAGTCTACCATAATACCTACCCAGAAGACCGCAGTCAACACAATCACTTTTGTACCAGAGCTTGCTACCGATAACTTGAGGGGACTCAACAGACAATCGATCTTGTCGCTTCATGAGTCGGTGGTGCCAAATGAAGTAACGGATGTAAGACACTACTCACGAAAAAATGTTCTTGCTATCGACGTTGCCCACGAGACTGCAATGTGCACAATGAGCAAAGTTACGGAATTTACTGGCATAAAAGTCCGCTTGTACAGCCCATTCAGAACTGGTACTACTACTAGTGTCGTCTATGATGTAGGGATCTCTGTTTCGAACACAGAGTTGACCAGTCTTGTGTAAGAAGTGCTTTATGGCACAACATCATACATATGTCTCGCATGGGCACATCTCACTGTATAAAACTAACATTTAAGAGAGAATCTTTGTCATCGCATGTCAAGATGGACCACTTTCGGCTTCTGGTACGACCGGTCTTTTCAAGACCACTTCAGTGCTGCAAATTTTTTGGTTTGGACACGGGACCGTCGTGTGTCAGAGCACGGTAATTTGCTCATGCTGCACCAAACCACGCATTACCACCTCCTGTGCCGCCAGTGTAGTCAAGTGCCGCGATTGCCTTGGGTCCCGCAATGCTTTGTCGAATGACTAACCCAAGATACAGAAGGAGAAGGACAATCTTAAGCAGATGGTGCGAGATCACTCGTCTTGTCGGGACGCTGTTGCTGTCGTCATAATGCGACGCTTCCGACGCCGTTGTAGTTCAAGTGACTCTGTGACACGTAGTTCAAAAGTGACACGACTTCGTTTGCTTCTTATACGATACGTGTCCACGTCAGTTTCTGTGGACAGGTCCGCACTTGAACGTATAGACAGTGATAATGGGCTGGGCCTTACCAAATGTGCTGTCAGAGTCACAGCCACAGTCAAAGCCACAGCACAATTTACATCGAATTCAACGATTGCAGCATACTGAGCCAACACTGACTGAGTCAATTACAGCGATGTTTAACCACGCCATGTCTGAAAAAGACCAAGACATCCCTTCGATGCTACGATCTTTCATGCACACCATATTTATGCTTTAGCAAAACTCTGTCAGCCCAAACAGGCCTGAAACTGCTAGAAGTTCTCAATCCAGTGTTTCAGCACATCACTAGTCCCCACTGATCGCTTTGACTCTTCCCAAGGCCGCGATTTTCCTGTCGCATGTCTTAATGCTGAAATCATATTGGTTAGAAAACTTCCCAGCCTCAGTGACTGACTGACTGACTGACTGACTGACTGACTGACTGACTGACTGACTGAGTGACTGACTGACTGACTGACTGACTGACTGACTGAATGACTGACTGACTGACTGACTGACTGACTGAATGACTGACTGAATGACTGACTGACTGAATGACTGACTGACTGAATGACTGACTGACTGACTGACTGACTGTACATCTTGTGCGAGAAGTGCTCTCCTTCTCTTGTCTTTTTCTATATTTAGTCCCCATCCCCCTAAGCCCAGTGCAGGGTAGCCAAGTGCACGCTCATCTGATTATTCCCCCTGCCTTTCCTCTTCTTGTTCATTTCTCCTC